TTACCATGGAGTGTGTTGGTTGAGAAGTGGACGGTTTGCTCGGATGATCGAGCTGACTGGGCGAATTGTTGTGTTTAAGCATTTCATCTGTGACAGATGGTTGGGCTGTGAAGTTGGATGGTGGAGGCGAAGTAGTAGTTTGTACAGGAACTTGCTTTGTGGTCGAGATTGGTGTGAGAAACATGGGTGAAGGTTGGTCTTGTTGAGCAACAGATGGAACCTTTTGATCTGCAAAGGGAAAATAATTTTCGTCAAACGTGACGTGACGAGAATATGATATCTTGTTTGTACCGAGATGAAGACATTTGTATCCCTTGTATGTGTCCGAGTATCCGAGAAATACACATGGCTGCGCTTTAAGTTGCAGCTTGTGACGGTGAGTAGGGGTTAGTGGAAAACACGCACAACCAAAGATGCGAAGTGGCTTGTAGTCTTGTTTACTTCCGTAGAGCATAGCATGGGGTGATATGTATTTGATTGCAGAATTCGGCAGTTTGTTAATTAAATGCACGGCCGTGAGCATAGCATCTGGCCAGTGAGCTAACGGTAAGGACGCGGTGTGTAAGGTTCTTGCCATTTCGACGATATGCCTATGCTTTCTTTCTAATACACCATTTTGTTCTGGTGTATAAGGACATGAGATTCTATGTTTTATGCCATTGAGCTGAAGCAATTGAGTAAATTGTGTGTTGATATACTCACCACCACCATCAGATTGGAAAGCTTTAATTTTAGAAGATAGCTCATGTTCTATATAAGTTTTAAATGTAGAAAATACAGAAATAACTTCATTTTTGTGTCTCAACGGATAAATCCAAGTGTAACGAGAATAGTCCGCCTTCACCAGCCTCCGGCCACCACCGTCGGCCATTGTCACTTGTTGCCAGTTGCCATTTCTGCCCGCCATAATCCGGCATCTTATGGTTGGCCACAATGACCACTTGTCGTTAGGGACCGCCGGTTGTCACTACCACCTACCACTAGCTGCCATCCCTCTGCTAGCCACCACTTGCCAACAACCACCACCACCATCAATCATGTGTTAGCCACCCATGTCGCTATCTGCTAGCCACCACCTGCCGCCACTCCGCCTCTGGTTGCCAGCCATCACCAGCACCGGTCAAAACCATCATCGGTTGATGTCGCCACTGAACGCCAACCATCACCACTGTTGCCACTTCCCCCACCAACCGCCAGTATTTTTTGACTTTACAATATATTCATTATTTTAAACCAAATAAAAAAAATCATTCACTTGAATTTACTTTTTATCCAAACAACTCAAAATATTCCTTTTATATTGCATTCCTTTTTGGCGAACCAAATACTGGAGAAAAAAAACTAAAAGTTATCAATTTTTTAGTTTCATTGAAATTTAAGGGGTTGTTTAGTTTGAACTAAAATGTGTGTAAAATATTTCAAATGCAAGGGTTTTTAAAATAATAGTATTTGGTTTGAGTAAAAGAATAATATTGTGTAAAATTTTAGTGCATTTAAAATTCATTATCTTGTTCATTTTTTGCGTATTTTAAATTTCATAGATTTGATTGATTTTCAAATACACCCTAAATTCATCATCAGTATTGGCCACCGACCATTATCTTTTTTAGACTTTACATTTCATTCATTTTACTTTAAATCGAACAAAAAATAAAGAATGTTATATATTTCTTTTACACTGATCTAAATAACTCTAAAAAAAGTTTGTATATTGCATTTCTATCCACTATTGCATTTAATTTTTTTCAGCCAAAATATAGAAAGAGAGAGAGAGAGAGAGAGAGAGAGAGAGAGAGAGAGACTATTTTCTGTTATAAGTATCTTTTTTTTAATGAATTTTTTAATAAAATTTCTGTTATAAGTGTCTTATTCTCCCAAACAGAACCCAAATGAGAATTAAGGAATTCAAATACTTTTGTTCTCTTTTGAAAAAAAAAAAATAGAAAGGATCTTATTTTAAACTTTCATTTAAAATTTTATTTATTTTTTTAATAATACAAAAATTTTAATCACTTAAATACAAAAAAAATGATTTCTCTCTAAAAATGATTCGATTTACTTTTTAAGCTGAGAATGTATATATGCAAATTTGTATATATTATTATCTTAAAACTCCCAATCAATAGTTGATGGATTTATTTTTATTTTTATTTTTTTGAGAAAATTCTAAATCAAATGACAAGCATCGAAATACATCCATTGGGGCATATTTCATAAATAGAACATCATTAGATATTTGTTGATTATGAAGACAATGACATCACTCCATTGTGTAATTGAGTGATGGTGTTAAGAATTAGATGTCTGCAAATGTTAGTTAAACTAATGTCGATGGTCCGCACATGTTAGATGTTGTGGGCCTGTAAGTATCAATGAAAGGAGAAATTATTATGTACAGAGTCCGGGCATAGAGATACGTCCGAACTCCAATGAGTGTGTGACGAGTGAACGTGTACATAGTGTGTACAATTATGTACACATTGTGTATATAGTGTATACACAATATGTACATAATTATATAGTGTATACACTGTTGTATACAGTGTATGCATAGTTGTATGCAACACACTGTAACATAGTGTGTACATATTATGTACACATCCACGTGTCACGCTCTCATTGGAGTCTGAATGCATCTCTATGCCCGAACTCCACACGTAATAATTTCTCCAATGAAAGGCATTAACTAGGGCAAGATTTTGATGTTTGCAAATGTAGGATAGATGCAAACATCATTGTCTAGTGATGTGGGCTAGTATACATCAATGAAGGGGTAGGAGTACTAAATATAAACTCATGTATTTGCTCGATATTTGCTCAAAGAGTACCCCAAAGATAAGTTCTTAAACAGGAACAATTATTACGTGCAGTCGGACGTAGCTCTATGTTCGGTTACCACTGAGTTACTCAGTATTTGCTCGATATTTGCTCGGTATTGCTAGGTATTGCTTGGCAATAACGAGAAATACCGCTATGTGAAGACCAATACCGAGTAATACCGATTTTTTCTAAAAAAACTCGGTATTGCTCGGTATTGCTCGGTATTGCTCGGTATTTGTCTTCACATAATGATATTTATCGTTATTGTCGAACAAAATCGACAAATACGTGATTTTGTGCATGCTACGTGGCGCCATCTCAATGTCGGCTGAACATAGCTCTACATCCGATCACCGGACCAAATAAAAGTTCCTTAAACAGACGACCAAAATGCAGGTGCTGCACTAGTCTTTTTGTTTATTTTTTCAAATGTCAATGAATGCAACAATTTGAGAAAACTCTACAAAGAATTAATGAAAATTTGCATTTCAAGGGAATCCAACATGTAGATTCCTACAATTACTAGAACAAAAGGTAGTTATTATCACCTCTTTCAATATGATTCTGATGAGACTTACGCTTCGTTTGGGACCGTTTTCTTAATGCTTCTTAAAGCAGTCTTCTAATATTAAAATTTTGATTTTTGAAACAGAAAGTCGCTTTAACTAGTAAAAAAATCATCCCAAATGAAACCTTAGGCCTCATTCAAGATTGTTTTCTTATTGCTTTCTAAAACAACTTTCTATTACAAAAAAATTTCAAACTAAAATATTTTATATTAAAAAGCTGCTTTAAAAAAGCAATAAAAAAACTATCCCAAACGAAACCTTAAACCGAGACTTATGTGTGGTATCAAGCCTCTGTGGCCTATGTCCCAACTTTCTTCCGTCCCAACTTTCTTCCTAAACTTGCCTATGCCTGCACCTGGAACAGAGTCTCAGAATGAGTGTAGAGTGAAAGCCAATAAAAGAGCTCAGCCAGCTTTTGCTCCTACACAAATCTGGGCTGAGGCCGTTTTAACTTCTACCAATATGATTTAGATCATACCCTCCTCCTACTGGACTGCTTTTCTCGCATCCTCCTTATTCTAATCTGCTGGCGTTCAGCTCTACCTGCTTTGTTATTCTTCTACCGGCTTTCTACTCATTTGTATATATAAAAACGAATAACAAGCCTAATAATCCCTATGTCAAGGAAAAATTATTCTGTGCGAATACCGAACGTCATCCGGGAACCAATAAAAATACACCACATCACCCTATATTGTACCGCGGCTCAATACTACTATGTACCACAACTCGATACCGCTCGGTACAGGACAACCGAACGTAGAGCAGCATCTAGACAGAATAATTTCTCTATGTCAAGGGGATCATAAAAACTGGAACTCCGTCCACAGCAGATCTTTTGTGTATCAAAGAATGTGAAACCACAGGAAGCAAAACTAAGGACTAGGAAATAAAGCAAAATGCTAGTTCAATTGGCACCAACATTTCTCTAAAGCCATTGTTTTTCGTGTCTTGAAGTAAAAAAAAAAAAAAACATAAAAAAGACCACTCTACGACCATTTCATAGAACAAAAAAAAAACTAGGGTAATAAATATATTATAGAACAACCATAAAAAACTGTAATGATTGATTGCTAGTAATAATAAGAGAAAAGAGAGTGCGTTTTTCTCCTTGATGAAAGCCAATCTTCTTTGAGTGCTTGTTCTTTCAACGATTCAGATCTACAAAATCCCTGTCTCACACTTGGAGAAAGAGATCACAAAATAAAACTATCCATATCTTCAGAAAACTTAAATTTTTTTGCCTTCATATATAGCAGTGATTATATAGACAATCTAGTGCAGATCACTGATGTAAAGTCTTTGTGTCATGTTCAATGCCAAGCGCTAATGTGCTGATTGCTCATTAACCAGGCTAATCCAATCTACAAAATGTATAATAAAAAAACACCATTTCTCTAAAGAAAAAAATATCACCTCCAGAGTTTTTATGTACTTTCATGCAGATGTAAAGTCACTACAACTTTCAAGTAACATCACCAGCAAAGATGAATATATATTCTCACCAACAATAAACGAGAAAATATGAATAATTATTTTTATTCGAGGAAAATGGCATGAAATTGCTGTACTTCTGCATTAAAAAAATAAAAATAAGGAGGACACCTTGGAAGGACAGAAGTATTAGATAATTTTGTAACAAAATGTTTATAATAAAAATCCACCGCTCGAAAAATGTTGAAACTAACAATATAACAGAAACATCCAAGTACCAAATTAAAAAGAAAAACATCCACAACCTTAAAAAGTCTCAAACGTACAACTACAATCTTAAGAGCAGATAAGACAACATTAAATGTAATTCAAAAAGGCAATAAATCATTTCAGGACTTCTGTTTTTTAAAAATTGCCTTCAACGATTTGCCTTGGCCACACGTTCAATCTCGTCCTTCTTCTTGATAGCATAACTACAAACAAAGCAACAACAAACGTCAAGATACTTCCAAAAGCATATATAAGCATAAGCAAACAAATAAAATAGTCACATTAATAATAAAACAACAACAACATCAAGCCTTTGTCCCACTACGTGGGGTCGGCTACATTAATCCTTTTTCGCCATTGTGTCCTATTAAAAGTCAAATTCTCATTTAAATCTAATAAAGAAAGATCATTTCTAATATTTTCTAACTAAGTCTTTTTAAGTCTACCTCTACCTTTCTTAATATAAGTCAAATCTAATACCTCAACTTTCCTAACCGAGTCATCGAAAGGCCTCCGTTTAATGTAACCAAACCATCAAAGACGACTCTCACTAATCTTATCTTCCACTGGAGCTACTCCAAACTTTCACATATGTGCTCATTTCGTATCCTATCTCTAAGGGTAAAGCCACTCAACCACCTAAGCATCCTCATCTCTGCAACACTTAACTTAGTATTATGCTTCTCTTTTAATGGCCAATCATTTGGCACCAAAAGCATATACAGGTCTCACCACCATCTTATAAAATTTTTCCCTTAAGTTTGAGGGGGACTTTTCGATCGCCACAAAAAGCCCAATGCATTCCTCCACTTAACCATCCACTTGAAAGTCACATAATATCTACTAATAAAAAAAAACTTATAAAGACAAACAAATAAATAGCTCAAGGCAATAATGTGCATCAACATTCATTTACAAGACAAATACCACCATCCAAATCATTTAAAAAAAAATTAATTATCCACGACGGGGATAGGTATGTTAAAATTTTTATTAATTCCTAGGACACAAATGCAGAGTTAGATAGTTAAAATTGAAGTATAGTTTTGAAAAAAAAAAAAAACAGGAAAGACTTAGCTGCTCAAGCGTGTTGAACATTTCTAGATTATAAAAACAGTGAAGCTGATGAAGGAGACTATAGCATAAAAAAACAAATAATCACACAAGGAAAAATGCTCACCTGTTGGAAGAACCCTTAGCTGCATTAATCAATTCATCAGCAAGACATTCAGCAATTGTCTTGATATTTCGAAAAGCACTCTCACGAGCACCTGTTGTGAGAAGATATATCGCTTGATTAACCCGTCTCAGAGGCGAAATATCAACAGCCTGACGCCTAACAACACCAGCAGATCCAATTCTAGTAGCATCCTCTCGTGGACCGCTGCAAGTAAAAACAAATTATAAAATATGTGCATAAAGAGTAAACCACGAATACTCAAGAACAACCCTTAAACTCTAGGAGAAATAACAATCATCATGAGAATATAGTACATTTTTTTAGCTAGAATAAAATATTTTAAGAAAAGACAAACAAATAAAGCACATATTAACTATTCTATAGCTTAAACTTTCATGTGAATTGACTCAATTGTAGTCGTCCAAGCATTAATTACCTATTAATGACAGCATCTACTATGATTTGGATTGGGTTTGTATCAGTAAGGAGATGAATAATGTCCATAGCATGTTTAACGATGCGAACAGCCTTCAGTTTCTTCCCATTGTTGCGACCATGCATCATCAATGAATTGGTCAATCTTTCAACAATGGGACACTGTGCTTTCCTGAACCTTTTTACAGAGTAGCGTCCAGCTGTGTGTGGAAGATAAGTTGCATGCTTCGAAGGAGTTACCGCAATATAGTCAGCAAGTGACATGTCAGAAACCTGAATACAAAAAAAGAATCCACAAACTAAGATTTGCAAGGGGAAAAAGATCAATAATGCTACCAGCAGCTAAAGTTAAACACATTTTCAACACATAATTTATGTGATAAATTAAGTAGTAAAACCTTGAGAAATGTCAAAATCATGAATGATAAAATACAACCACGATAAAACTAACTTTTAGCAACACTTATTATAACACAAGCTTATTGCGTGCTATTACAAGGTTCAATGGCAACACCAGATACTAGGTTACACTGTGTTACATTATAACAATCTGCTCGATTTGGTGCTTCATCAGATCAATAATGATGAACTGCCAAACAAATTTCCCAAATCAGCTGCTCTCCAACTCCCTTGAACAAAATTCCACTGAACACGTCTCTCTCTTCAGATCACTCAATAGTCATTTCCAAATCACGAAATAGGAATCCACAGCTTTCCCTCTTTCACATTTCTCACTATTTCGGAAAATATCTTCGATATCCCTCCCCTCTATCAATTTACAATTTATGAGATTTCAATCCTTCAACATTCCACACTTATCTCTCGCTGTTTATCTACTTAAGTAGATTTAAAGGTATGCTCAATTCTTTCTCCATATATTTTTTTTTTTCAAATTCAATGGAGCCAAATTGATGCTTGGTATGCATAAAAGAAACAGGAAAGAGATAAGTAAAACCGACCTCGATTTCTTCGAAAGACCACCGATTGAAGAGCTTAACATCGGTGGGCGAGGCCAAACCAGAGGATTGTGGTGGAGAGGACAGGGCGGCCGCCATGATTGGTATTCGGAGAGTTCTCGCTGGTATTCGGAGAGAACCAGATGCGGCAGCGATAAAAACCCTAGCGAGTTAGGAGGAGAGGAGCAACTTATGTAGCATTGTAGTCATGGACCGTCATGATGATATATTGAAGGCGCTAAAGATTTGATTAACGGTTCCGATGAGGCATTATTTAGGGGCTGTTTGGTATCGGATTTACAGCGGGATTTAAGTCGGATTTACGCTAAATCCAGCCCAACAGTTTTTGTGCGCACGTTAAAAACATCTCCAACCCTTCAGCAAACAGCTGAATGGAGGTCCTCAAACGTCGCAATCGAATGCCATTTTTTTCGTCATTTGAACTCAGTTGTTTGCACTATTTCTTTCTCTCTACCGAACTCGTCTGAAATAGGCGGGAAAGAAATGAGTGATGATTTGGGGGCAAAATGACGTTCCACTGGAGATGAATCACGACACTTTTTAATTTTACTACATTTTCCAGTGAAAAATCAGAATTTTGGTTGGAGATACCCTAAATCCCAGGATTCGGTAAATTCCGGATTTACGGCTTAAATTTGGGATTTAGTAAATTCGAGGGCAGCCGGATTTAACGGGATTTATCCGAAGAAGCGCACAAGATTTTGATAAGCACGGATAGACTACATATACTGTAAATTTTGCGATGGTAGAATGTTTGTTGAGTTTTTTTTTTAGCTTTGTATAATGATCCACCATGCATAAATGGAATTTGTAAATTGTAATTTATTAGAACTTTTTTATGTGGAAAACCTAGGAAGGAGAAGAATCACGAAATTTATTTTAGTTGCAATGATACACTATATAATTGTCAATAAAATAATTTACTTTTATTTAAAGAATATAAGATTATAAGAATTCATTGTAGAGTTTACATAAGTAGGCGAATGGTTGAAATCCAATAAGGGAGTTGGATAGAAATTAGGTGATGGTGGGGTGATTGATTATGGCGGTCATTAGAATTCCTTAGATTTCTTAGCTCTCCAACTCTCTTTAAGTACAAAATAAGGTCCTATTTATAACATTTTATTAGAGAGGCATATTAGTAAAATTTGCAAGAATTCCAAACAGTATAAGAGCGACTTATAATAATCCCTTTGATCATAAATTATTTATGCAGCATTTTAGTGTCTTAATGATGTTACAATTGAATTATCTTGAGCTTGTTGGATTTACGTAGTAGAACTTCTTGATTTGACAATAAGCATGTATATATATACATGCATACATGTTGAAACAAAGAGTGGTCAATGTTTAACCTTTAGATAAGACTGCTGTAACCTATCAGAGTATGATAGTAGTAGTAGACAAACTTCTTTGACATAAAGAGTGGATGGTGGAGAAAACTTGGTTATTCCTTCATTGAATTGATATGATATATAAAAAAAGAATCATAATGTACAAGAAAAGTTTTTAAGCAAAATTCTGACAATTTTTAATATTACACAACAAAAACTAATTTGGTATTACTAAGAATGGTTGGTTGCATTTGTAACAATCCTAACTCTTAATTATCAAGATATTGTCTGCTTTGACCTAAGAGCCTCACGGTTTTGCCATGTTGGTGTAACTTCCCAGGAGGCCACTCATCCCAAGATTTCTCAAGGATGAGCATGCTTTACTACGAAGTTTCTTAATGAAATGCTAACTATTACACCAAAAAATGTCTCGATATTTAAGAGTTTAACTTCTTTTACTTAAGATGTTTCATAACATTAATGAGAGAATATAATCAATAGTGGTTTGATAGCTCCATTTGAACATGCAACAACAACAATTGCAGGCTTGACAACTTCATATGCCATTGAGTTGCTAACAACATCATCAACATATAATAACACAAAGTGTTTAGATGAATAAGGTCGTGCTTATTGGAGCTAAGTACTTTAATACCATAAAACCTAATATTGGTACATATAATGAATATTAGAAAAAACTTTGTTACTGCTTCATAGGATAGTGGTGGCGGCCTATGACATGTAGCAATAGAGACTTGAGGTGAGTTGCTGTAAAACTCCTCTGAAGTGCATTTTTTTTTTGGTGCAGTTAGTCCGTACGAACTGACTTTAGTACGGGACGAACTGAAGAACATTGTGAAGATTCTGTATGGTTCGTCTGGACGAACCTGTACGAGCCAGGACGAACCGTCGGGATGAAATTTGTCCATAGAGTAAATCGTCTAGGAACGAATGCACTTCGTCTGGACGAGATTTGTTCAGAGGGCAAATCGTCTCGGGACGATCCTTTTTGATAAGTATTGGAATTGAGATATTTTTAAAGAGAGAGAAAAAGCAGAGAGAAAGAGAAGGAAAGAGAAGAGGAAGGCTTGGTTTTGGAGCTCGCGGAGCGATTTTTGTTCGACGACGCAGTTAGAAGAATTGTTTATCTCGCAGTTAGGACTCCGAATCCTATTTCTGATTTCGAAGATTTCTAGTTTTGGTATTTTTCTGCTCAATTTTGTATTTCCGTTATCGTAAAATGTGCATATCTTTGTATTGACGAAACGTTTACCGCGTAACTTTTGGTATGTTATTGAAATGATGATTTTGCATGATTTAAGTATTTTTGGAAAGTTTTTACCAGATATTTTGAGTTATGTGCGCTTTTTATCGAATAGAAATTTATCTGGATGTCAGAAAAATATTGCTTCAGTACAAGTAAAGCTTTGTAACGTTGTTTTATTCGATTTCTGATAATTTGATAATTTTCTGAAACTGTGTATTTTGACTCTGTTTGGGATGTCACAGTTGCAACAACTCAAACCCTTAACTATCAAGATATTGTCCTCTTTGGCCTAATGGTCTCATGATTTTGTCCCATTGTTATAACTTCTCAAGAGGTCAGTCATCTCATAATTTCTCTTAGATGAGCACGTTTAACTGCTGAGTATCTAAATAAAATTTTAATCATTACACCAAAAAAGCCTAAATGTTTAAGATTTAGATTATTTTACTTAAGGGGTTTCACAATCTCCTCCATTTAAGTAACTTACATCGTTGTCAGTAATTTATCCCAAAATCATCCACCATACATAGAGGATTGTAGAGGTGGCCCCTATGTGTTTAATTGGCGGCTCCTGTCACGTAACACTTTGTTCCATACAGATTAAGAGGTGCCTCACATGGCGTAGAACTTTGTTTTGTTTGACATTTAGTTCACATCTTCTATCTGGTGTATTACTTTAATACCATTTGTAACAGCCAATCTCTTAACTATCTAGTTATTTCTTCTTTGGCCTAAGAGTCTCACGATTTTATTTTATTGATGTAACTTATTAGGATGTCACTCATCCCAAAATTTCTCTGGGATGAGCACGTTTAACTGTGAAGCTTCTAAATAAAATTTCAACAATTACATCAAAAGACGAATCAATGTTTAAGAGTTTAGTTTCATTTACTTAAGAGGTTTCACAAGAGTAGTGGATGTCGATTGTAGACGAGGAAGACGAGGTTGCAAATTGTGGATTTTGATATTTTTTCTAAATTTGAAGGTCATCCAATTTTTTTTAAAAAATAGGCATTTGGCATATTTTTAATTCGCTATATAAATGTTTTGCATTCCTTTACTTAAACAATTTTTTTTAAAAAAATTATTTTCCTTTTTATTTTTGTATTCATAATATTTGCAATCAAATGACCTCTTGAGCAAATATTAAGGCGTTTGAATATTATACAATAAACTTAATTAAAGTTTTATTAAGGATGGATAAAATTAAAAGAGGCGATCGCGTGTTCATATATATATATATATATATTATGATGCAAGAATTAAGAAAAAGCTAGTAGATAATTTCTTTTTCAATCAAAAGACTCCGTGATAACTTTCTAGCACAAAAAATTATAATTAAAAAAAAACTAAAAAACTACTTTGAAAAATAATAAAAAAGTATCCCAAATGAAGCATAAAGTAGCTTTTTAGTAAAAAAAATTATAGTTAAAATTTTTTTAATATTAAAATACTATTTTAGAAAGTAATAAGACAAATGAAGTCTTATATATATTATATATATGCAGTTATTAATTATAAATATATCAATACAATAAGAACAACAATAATCTTTTATCTCACTACTCGACTATAGCAAGCCTTTCTCTCCATTTTTTTATTTGGAGTCAATTTCTCATTTAAATCTAATAAAAAAATATTTTTAATATATTCTAGTCTAGTCCTTTTAGATATAACTCTTCCTGCTAGATCTAATTCTTTTTTTTCATCTAACAGTTCATCTACAAATCGAAGTTTTATGTGACCAAATCATTGAAGGACTCCCGTCTTATATGCCATTGGAGCTACTTCAACTTTTCGTGTATATACTCGTTTTGCACTCTGTCTTTAATTGTGAAGCCGCCGTAAAACTCTTCACTTGAGAACAATTATTTATAGTTTTATTTAAAAGGGATATTTCAATATAAAGAGAACAATTAGATATATTTTTCATAAAAAAAAATAAATAGTAAGAATATTTGATCAATTACATATATTATGAGGAATATAAATTCAAATTTTACTCTTGCTTTAGGATCTTTTATTTTTTATTATTTTATTTTATTTTTATTAGGACCTAACACTCCAAACTATGAAGCATATAGGGTTTGATGTATTATAAATATAGAACATATGTTGAATATAGCACAATAACTTTAATAAAGAGTTTAAGCAGAATGTGTGCTAGATTCCTCTATTTTGGTGACATGGAGGCCAAAAAATTACGCCTCATTGCTTGGAAGTGAACCTGTAAACCTAAAAAGAATGGAGGGTTGGGCATTTCGGATTTATATGCCCTTCAATTTGCAAACCGTTGCTCTCTGATTTTCAGATTTTACAATGCTAAGTCTATATTGTTCACTTACCTATATGCTAAATTTTGTACACCTTGGACCCCGGTTCAGTGCAAAGTCTCTCCTCTTTGGAGAGAAATTGGGAAGGTTGCCCTGCAAATCACTTCTAGTATCCACTTTGAAGTCAATTCTAATAGTAATATTGCAATGCTATGGGATCCGTGGATCGGTGATAGGTCTTTATTGTCTGCTCTTCCAAACTGTAACTTGGAAAATCGCATTCCTCATCAGGTCAC